GAAAAAGAGCCTCGCTCTCGCTCGAAGATTTCTTCGTGAAGTTCGTCAGGCCCATTAAGGAAACAAAAAAATCATCATCATCATCATCATCATCATCATCAATATCACAAATCCTGGCACATTTTAAGGCGTAAACGTAACTAACATCTGGTATCCAAAAAGTGGGACACGGAACCAAAAAAAAAAAAAGAAACAAAGGAAAGAAAAAGCAAATCTCACCAGAGCACCCACCAACCACCAACGAATTACAGACAAATCTTAAAAAAAATTCCATAACTAGAATAGCGTCGTAATAATTTGTGTATAGGCCGACCAACTCATAAAATCATGAAGATTTTTTTTCAGACAACTTTTGATTGCCTGCACCGATTTTGATCAAACTTTTATCAGTAATCTTGTATCAATTTGTCTTAAATTTGTATAAGTTTAAGTAAATGAATCTGGCTCTAGTATTAAAGCAACGTTTTCTCTTTATCTTTGTTAAAAATAATCTATTGAGTGATGACTTACAGACAGTGTAACTCGTATCATGTCGTCATACTTTGTATTTTAAAGATACAAGAGGAAGTTGATTTTTGTTCATCTCTTTCTATTAAAAAAGGCTCCATGCTTGCGCACCATTTTTCGTCTTGGGAAATTTCCAGTTATCATGTATTCAAAAGAGAGTTTTGCTTTTTGAACCATAGAAACAAGAAAAAACCCCAACTAAAGCGAAATATTATGTTCTAGAACTGTACTGTGAATAATGTGTTTATTTCCATTCTCATACGGACGTGCAGAAAAAAGCCGCTGGTGCAGGGAAAAACTGCCATTTCACAGCAACTTACAATTTTGAAAAAAATATTGACCGACAAGACAAATCAACATTGTCTTATATTTAAAATCTCAAAGTATCAAAAGTTAATAAAAAATACATTGTAAATACTAAGCATGAGTTCTTTTGTGACATTTTTATAACAAGGGTATTTGATTTGTTTGTTAGTTTGAGTAAGGAGAAGTAAACTAACACAGTAGCAGTCATTTAGTAGAAGACCAGAGTAAGGCCTATGTCCACAGCGCATACACAGACCGCGCATAATATTATACGGTTACATTAACCCTATCCGCACGTCGTGTTTTACTATCGTATCCATACGACGTGGGGAACTCTGTGTCACCACTATCCAAAGAGGAAATTTACTCGTTAACCCATCCGTACGCTTTGCATAGTAGTCTGTCAAAATGATTTTTTGAGAAATACTGAAAGTTTCAAAGAAATCTTCGTACTAGAAGTATTCTAAAATGTGAAGAATACAACCCCGGGGGTACAAAATGGCCCAGGGCGTACGGATACTGGATAGGGTTAAGCACAATACAGGGTGTCACAAAGGCAGTACACCATCCTGGTTTTCATTAAAAAAAAACCCACCCCAGCTTGGTTGATATTAATAATAGTCTTTAATGAAATCTTGAATTGAGCTCTAACAGGATCGGAAGACAACAGGCATCGACTGCCTCAAAGAAGCTGTCTCTTACATGTGGATGAGTGTTTCAGGAGTGGTATTTTAGCACTCCGAAATTAGCGCTTCCTAATAATCGTCAATCTCCGCGTATGAAGAGGTTTTTTGTGGGTGTTTTACGGCGCTCGCAACTGCATATGAGCGCGCAGGACATATTAAGCATTTACAGTTTGGTAGGAATTAATTTTGAATTTTGCTTGGGTGGCGGCCGAAACCTACTCTTATAAACTTTAGGACCACAGAGGGATCTTAAACGCGCGCAACTTGCACACGGGACCTCCTAGATTTTTTTCGCCCTTATCCGAGAAGGCTAGATGTCAGATCTTACCTACCCTACGATCAGGGGTGTGGCTGAAAGACAGTAGCATGACGGAGCTGAGGAGTAGCCGTAGAGAGGCTGTAGAAAGAGTCAGGAACTCTGAGGAGGGGCGAAAAGAGAGAGAGGGGGGAGGAGGGGGCAGAAAGTGGAGTCCAAAGCAGACGTCAGAACATGGTAAGAGAGAAGGAAATGAGGTGAAAGGAGAGATTAGAGAAGAAAAATTTCCGTCACTGTCAGATTTCGACCCTGGGACCTATTGGATGAAAGGCGAACACCGTAACCTCTAGACCACGAGAGCCCTGAAGAGGGTTTTTCCGAATGGTGCGCGGCTTCTGGGTCCCCCTATACTTCACCACAAGTCGTCAGACCACAGCGGCCAGACTGTTAGTTTCTTCCCAAGGAGATTAAAAGTTCTAAGCTCCTTGTTTCTTCCGCATAGTCTGCATTGCGTCTAGGATAGGATGTGAGACATTTTCTGGTTTGTAAGGCCAGAATACCGGTTTGTCACCTGCGTAAATGTGTTGTCAGCAATGTTTTGGTCTAGTCACTCTTCTTCCTTCGATGCACCATGAACGATGCAAAGTTGATAGGATAATGTGTGAAAGCAAGACCAGTCGTGTTTTATGACTTAAAAAAAAGGATACACGAACAAAGATTTTTGTTTCTGGAAGTTCAGCGATGTTTAACTATTGGGTGGACCAAATGATTCTCTTCTGCGCCGCCAACGCAGGAAAATGTTGCGATGCCTTGTAAGCATCATGATGCCGTTTGGCCATGTACACTTTGTAATCACTCGGAAAAGGGAAAAAATATACGAAATATGTGGATATGGAGTAGCCCAATTTTTCAGGACGAGCTGTTTCTGGCCCGTAAAAAAGTATGGTCTGTATGGGAGCTGTGGACAAGTAACCTAAGACAGTCAGACGGAAACAGGACACGCGCAGAACAGTAGAACCTACAAATGTAGTCCCCCCCCCCACACACACCCCCCATTCCCAACCACTAACACCACAAAATGCGCCAGGGTATCAGGATAAATTTGTAATATTAATATGTCATGATTGTGAAAAGACAACAACAACAACAACAACAACAACAAC